TATTACACATTGTGTGAGGTACATGAGAACTCCAAATATAAAGAAAAAAACGAGGGGGCAGAAATGCTAATTACCAAGACTTGATCAGTAAATTCTGTACTCCATAAATACGTACAACTATTACATGTAAATAAAATATTTTTAGTTTTTAAATGGATAAGAGATCTAAAAATAAAATATGAAATCACAGAACTACCAGATAAAACACAGAACAAGTAGGAGACCTAGGGTTTTGTGAAGACTTCTTAGGTACAACACCAGAAGCATGATTTACAAAAAAGTAAGTTGGACTTCACTGAAACTAAAACTTCTGTTCTGGGAAAGACCCTGTTAGGAGAAAAAAAGAACAAGCCAGACTTGGAGAAAACAAGACAAACCTGAAAAACGATTTGTATCTAAAATATGGGCACAAGATCTGAACAGACACCTCATCAAAGACACACAGCTGGAGCAGCCAGGCGTGGTGGCGCACACCTGTAATCCCAGCACTCGGGAGGCTGAGGCAGGCGGATTGTTGCGAGTTCAAGACCAGCCTGGGCTACAAAGTGAGCTCAAGGCCAGCCTGAACTGCACAGCAAGACCCTGTCTCAAAAAAGACCAAAAAAAAAAAAAAAGAGAGAGAGAGAGAGAAAAAAAGACACACAGCTGGAAAATAAACACATGAAAAGATGCTCTGCATCATGTACCAGTAGGGCACTGCAACTTACAGCAATGCGATGCCAGCACAACCTACCAGAGTGGACCAAACCCAGAACCTGGCAACGCCAAGTCCTGACATAATTACTGCTGGCAGGCATGCCTAACGTACAGTCACTCTGAAAGACAGATGACTGTTTCTTATAAGCAAAACACTGCTCATCCTATGATCCCTAAATGGTACACGAAGCTCTACATACAAATGGCTCTATTCACAGTTATCCCAAATTGGAATCACCATGTCCTCCAACGTAGGCGAATGTATAAGCAAACTGGCATATCCACAGCATGGACCATCATGGGTGTGTGTAGAGGGAGGCCCATAGGGCTAAGTGAAAGAAGCCAAAGGTCAAAAGAGCACAATTTGTAACATTAGTAACAGAAACTAAAAACTTCAAAGATAATGTATCAGTATATTCCTTTGTCAAAGGTAACAACTTTACCAAACACAAGTTATAAATGACTGATGACATTATGTGCAGGAAGAGAAAGAATAGTTGCCAACTCTGCTTTCCCATCAGTTTTTCTATAAATCCTGCCTACTGATTGATTTTTAAAGAATGAGCTGTTAAACCATGAAAAGACACGGAAGAGAAGTCAAATGCTATTAAAGTGAAGGCGCCAGTCCAGAACGGCTGCTCACTGTATGACTCCAGCTAGCTGACACTCAGAAAAGGCAAAACCAGAGACAGGGCACAGACCAGTGGTGCCAAGGGCTGAAGGACAGAGGAGTGATGAAGCAGGCCACAGGGGAGCCTTGGAGCCGTGGGACTGTCCTTGTCGGTCAATCCCGTCGGCACCAAGAGCAAACCGCAATACACACCAAATGTCAGTAATGGTAATGAAATGGTACCAGCCCGTCTTCTGTAACCATGACCCATTAAGTCAAGGGACCAACACTTGAGGAAGTGCCAGGTTCTGCAGCAGAGCAAATGAGAACTCTCCTACCTGTTCCACTGTCTGGAAATCTAAAACTGCCCTGAAAAAGTCTATTATTTTACAAAGCAAAGAGTAAACAAGGTAATTCTACAACACAGGTAATTATAAAGGTAATTCTACAACCACTATTACCACCACTTTCTATTGAAACTTGGAGAGGACATTTTACTTTTTTTTTGAGGCAGGATCTTGCTGTGTAGTATAGTCAGGCCTTGAACTTACTTTGTAGCCCAGCTTGCTTTTCAACTCACAGCAATCTCCCTGCCTCAGCCTCTCAAGTGCTGGAATTAAGGCATGCGTCACCACATCTGTCTGAAAAGGACATTTTAAATTTCTTTCCTACAAACCTTTCTTTCCACACTCATCACCATTTTTTTTTTTTTTTTTTTTTTTTTTTTCGTCTTTTTGAGAAAGGGTCTCACTCTGCAGTTCAGGCTGGCCTTGAGCTCACTTTGTAGCCCAGGATGGTCTTGAACTCGCAACAATCCTCCTGCCTCAGCCTCCCAGTGCTGGGATTACAGGCGTGTGCCACCATGCCCAGTCTGCCATTTTCAGTTCTATCAGAAAATACTTTCCTCCCACTTACACCGGATTCTTTCCACCTTGAGCTTCCTCTAGGACTGAAAGAACCAAACTCCTGTCTTCCCTGTCTCCACTTGCCTCTTCCTGG